TGAAAAAAATGAATCGTACCATTAAGGGAGTATTAACTAAATACTGTCAGACAACACCAGGGTTATGGGTCAATCTGCTCCCCTTGGCCATCCTTAAAATAAGAAATACCCCAAGTCATACTGGGCTTTCCCCATATGAGGTCTTCTTTGGAAGGCTACCCTGTATCTTAAGAGATTTTATGGGAAATTTATCTCAACAGGGTTCCTCCAGTATGAAATTACAGCTGTTGGGATTGGGCAAAGTGCTCCAAAATATTCAAGGGCAAATAGAAATAAAGAGGACTTTCTTCCTGTGCTAACTCCTGCCCATCTCATAAAACCAGGGGACCAAGTTTATGCTAAAACTTGGAAAAAGACCCCTTTGCAACCTGTATAGGAAGGGCCACATGAGGCACTTGTGGTTACTCCCACAGGTATCAAGGTAGCTGAAGTCCATCCGTGGATTCATTACTCTAGAGTGAAACAGGCCTATCCAGAAAATTCCACGGACTTCTTTCTACTCCAGGAGTCAGCGCACTCAAAGCCCTGCTCTCACCACACCAGAAGCTGGTGAGTAAACACATGGCTTAAGAATGAGGACAGCAGTCAAGATAGTATGGACTCTTTTATTGTGTCAAACTGTTATGAGCTATTACGTTTTTGAATTAAGAGTTTATAAGCCTAAAAATGATAAGTTTGATAAAAATATGTGACTTTTAAAACTGTTAAATGGAAACCAGGGGGACATCCCCCTCACTCTTCCTTTTTCTGCCTGTACAAAATAACTTTATGAAAGTCCTGGTACCATGCCTGACTGTGGGGAATATACACAAAAAGATGTATTGGGTCAGATAAAGCTCAAATATGGTTAAACCGTTCTGTTGTAACCCAAAAGTATTGGCAATTTTGATAACTGTAAACAGGGACAATGAAAAATGTATATAGCCTTTAAAATTGTATATAGCTTGGCCTTGAGAAACAAGCTGACCACAAGGAATAGTCTTTTTATGTTTATTTTGGTTATCAGTCAACTGCTAGGCATGGGCCTTAGAAGTTAAAAAGATAGATTCTTCAGATTAAAAGGTTTGGAAAGATCCTCTCCAGAAATAAGGAAAACTCCTGCACTGCAGGAAATACAGAATATCTTAAAAGGGCATCCAAAAGTATACAGAAATAGATGTGATGGACTTGATTGATGGTACTCATTCATTGCTGCTATAAAACAGACTAGGAATTAGCCTCTGGTTGCTGGATTTGTGCACCACTCGCTGTAACAACTTATCAAGCAATTAGCATCATGAATGGCCTGCCCTTAGAGTCAGTAAAGCTTACATGTATCCTTTGCTCAGCCACCCATTAGATGTAATTGGGAATGGGACTTGCTTTCTTGGTATCCAAAAGTCACACAATATCTCAGCTGTCTGCACTGATATTGTTGATTTGTCTTCTACCACTGGTAATTACTCTGCCCCAAATGGAACTTTCTCTGTGGAAATGATGTTTTTAGGGTGATTTCAAAGCTTTCTACTGGTTTATGTGCTCTGGGGATCCTAATCTCCAACTTGTCTGTCCATACTCCTTCAGCTATGAGAAAGATGCCTTTACAAATTGCTATGACAAATGGTTTGGTAATAAAATGGGGGGGACCCAACTGTACTCCCCATATTAACAGGATTGGCTCTAACGGGGAGTCTCACTCTAAGTGCTATAGCTCTCAGGTTAGAAAAATAACAGTTCATGGCTTTGGGACATAAGATTAGAAAAGACTTAGAAGAAGTGTGAGATACAATTCAAGCTTTAGAAACTCAGATTCATTAGCTAATATAGTTTACAGGATAGAAGAGCTCTTGATTTGCTCACTCTGCAAAGAAGAGAAATTTGTTTCTGGGAGAGGAATTTTGTTACTATGCAAACAGATCTGGAATAGTTAAAGAATCATTGGATAAATTAAGAGATTGTATTGACTGCTAGGAAAAGAGTTTGGTACTGAGGACCCAACATTCAGTTTTGGCCTTAACTTGTCAGGACGGAATGCTTGGAACAGCTCCCTCACAGAGAGACCAATTATTGTTATACTGCTTCTCCTCATGTTTGGGCCCTGTATGGTAATATGGGTATCAAACTCATACATCAGAGAATAGCTGCTGCTCAACACTACCAGATGTTAATTATGTGGAATAATGAGAATTGGTATAAACATAATGAGGGGTAGGAGTTACTCCCAAAAAGCAAAGGGAGGAATGATAGAGAACACTTTAATAGCTAAAACCCTATGAAATGTCACAATGTAGGATAACTTCTACCCTTTGCTCTGTTTAGTTCAGAATTAACAGGCACTGGAAGCTTCTAGCTTCCCTCAAAAGTTTTGTAAATGAAAAGAACCATTATTGACTTTGCTGACCAAACGCACCCCCTTTCCCTTGGCTAGAATAGATAACTAAATGAATTTTAAAGGTAACCTCCTCTACCAAAAAAGTGCTACATCCGGGTTGAAATTCAACTGCCTGCCCCACCATATTTTGAATATCAGCAATGTGAACTGTGAAAATGCAATGTAACCACCTGAATGAGATCAAGGCTGTAAAACCCTATAAAAGGGGGAGTTGTAGCCCAGTACTGGATCGATCAGAGTGCTGCCATTAGGTGTGATTGATCCTCATCGATGGAGTAAACTTTTGTTATTTTACTTCCATTCTGCTGCCTATCTGTGTGTCACTTGCCAATTCCTTCTGTAACAGCTGTAGATAATTGGTCCTTAGCAACTAGTATCTGGTAACTTGCAATGGTTAACTAGATATAAGCAATGAGTAACTAGTTTTGGGTAACTAGTCAATGGTAATTAATAATTGGCAACTGAGGATTATCAATAATAAACTAGTTGTGTGAAACTAGGAATAGGTAACTAGCTGTGAATAGCTAGTCAGTGATAACTAGTCATTAGTAACTAATAATTAACTGGTTGTAGATACTATAGTTAGTAGATAGTGATGGCTAGCTTGCTATAGGTAATTAGTAAATTGGTTATGGATAACTGGCAGGAAAATAGTAACTGGTGGTGGTGGTGCTTAACCAGTCCTGAATAACTAGTAGGTAACTTGTAACAGGTAGCTGACAATGGGTAACTAGTGTGAAATTGGTCATTGGTAATTAGTTGTGGGTAACTGCTTTCTGGTAATTAGTGAGCAACTAGTTGTAACTAGTCATTGGTGAGTAGCAGCTGGTAACTAGTGATGGTTAACTATATTTAACTAGTAACAAGTAAATAGCAATAGAAATCCAGCAGGACAAACATTAAGTCCTGTAGTCCCATGTCCAGCATCCAGGGTAGGCTGTGGCATGACAGGAATTCCAAAGAGCTTGGGTGGCTGCACCTGTACAGCACTGCTGGTGGTTGCAGCTCTCATGACTTCTCTTGGGCTGGCTTTACTCACTCCTTGTGGCTTCCCTTAAATAGTCCATGCTCCTGGCTTCTCCAGTTTTCTGCATTTCTGCTTTGCTCTCGGTTTCGCCCACTACCATTACAGGGGCACACTGCCTTGCTTCTTGGGCCTTCTTCTGAATTTGAAATGGAAGCCTCCATAATCCCACAACTCTTGCATTCTGCCTGCCTGTAAAACCAGCTCCATGTAGATGCCACCAAGGTCTGTCACCAACTCAAGCAGTAGCTGGACCCCTTGAATGGTAGCTTCAGAGGTCCCTGAATACCTGGATGGCCAAACAGTGTGAAATTAATCCCAGGGAACCAATTCCTCTCTCTAGCAATGATTCCTTGGATTCTCTTCTGTAGTGAAAACTTTACAGCCTTGCCCCCTTGATCCTGTGAAGGGAGTGAGGGGTTTTTCCTGACATACCTGGAACGCACTTTTCCTATAGTCATATGCAGAGTTCTTGACTTCTTTTTGATGCTAATCTTCAGCAACAAAGCTTTCTTCTGTCCATCTTTACAGGCATTTTCTTTCTGGCAAAACTGAAAACTTTTTAAATGAACCTATTGCTCTTGATTTTCACTACATAAAATCTCCCCAAACCATTTATCCCACTGCCAAACATTGAACTGTCTTGAAATTTCCTCCACTAGATTAGTCTGTCACCCTTAATCTTAGTCTTCTGCAAAGACCCAGGATGTGAGTAAAATGTTTGCCAGAGTTACAACACACATGACCTGGAGTCCAACTGTCAGTGAGTCCTTGTTCCCAACTGAAGCTTCCAAGCCTGGTCTTTTCTATCTGCATTTCTGTGAGCAATCTGGTCTTCAGGGATCTAGTCTTCAGAGAATCTTCCATCAAGCTTGATTACCTCACTCTAGGTTTTTTTTTGTTCTCCGCAGGCATCTCCAAACCTTTTAAAACTCCTCCCTAGAACCAGTTCCAATGCTTCTAAACCGCATAGTCAGGTAGGGACACCAACAATCTCACTAGTCCTGTACCAAAATCTGCCTTAGTCACATTTTTTGTTACTAGGACACAATAAAGAGGAGATGGTTGTTTTGACCTACATTTCAGTCTATATCCAGCTAGCTCCAAGGCAGGAGTACATGGCAGTGGAGAGTTGATCACAGCATTGGAAACTCATGACTCTTAGAAAACACCAATACATAGGCAGTTTTTAAATTACTAGACTAGCTGTATAATTTGTGTGACAAAATTAGAGTTGGAATACCCTAAAATAGAGGTCATCAAAAATAGGGCTTGGGATGTAGCTCAGTGGTTCTACCACCTACTTCACAAGTGCAAGGTCTGAATTTGATCCCTGGTACAAAAAAAAAGAAAGACTAAAAATAATGAGTAAGTGATTCTTATTATCTTTAAAAAGTATCTCCAGGTTACCATTTCACCATATATTTTTCCTTCTGTCCTATCTTATCTTTGTACTAAACACAGTAAAACATGTATATGAAACACAGTAAAACATATGTATATGAAAAAAAAAAGAAATGACACATTGGATAGATCATTTCATTCATTGAGTTCTAAAATACAAGTACTGTTGTTCCAATTAAAAGCCAGGGATTTTGAATGCAGGAAAAACTGAAGAGAATACACTTACACTTGAAATTGATGAGCCAATTCTGGAGAGTTTCATCAGAACAGCATTTGGAGGTGTATTTGTGATATCACAAGTTCCACCTCTTCCCTTCACTGAACTGTACCCACCAAATCAAATCAGAGACCTTGATGCCACGTTTCATGGGAATAAAATCCATCTAACATGGACAGCACCAGGAGATGATTTTGATGTTGGAAAAGGTAAGGGTGAAGTGTTATGTGGTTATAAGAGAGAAGTGTTCCTTGCAAAGTTCAGGAATAAGGGTGAATGAAAGAACACTTAAAATGACTGAACAGCAAGATATTAATTTCATAATCTGATACTTTGAGTCAATCAAACATGACACATTTTAACCTGGTTCCAGCTTTTCTCACAAACAGGCTAGCATTTGGCAAAGTTATAGCATTTATCAAAATGTAGATAATGGCATGGATATGAATATCAGCTTTGTATAATTCATCATCTTTAGAAGAATAAATAAGAGGGAATTTAAATGGTATGTTACAGTTCCTAAATCACTCATAATTTTTTTTCTTAGTTCAATGGTATACCATAAGAGTCAGTGGAAGTATTCCTGATCTAAGAGATAATTTTGAAGATGCTCTTCAAGTTAACACTACTGATCTGTTACCAAATGAGGCCAACTCCAAGCAAACCTTTATGTTTAAGCCAGGAACTATCTCAGAAGAAAATCCAACCCATTTGTTCATTGCCATTCAAGGTATAGACAAGAGCAATCTGACATCAAAAGTATCCAATATTGCACAAGTAGTTTTGTTTGTTCCCCTGGGAGATCCTAGTCCCCCGTGAAACTTAACATCCTGGAACTAGCATCCCTACTTTGGTGCTGTTGGTGGCTGGCTTTGTTGCAACTGTTTGCATTATTTTATGTGCCATAATTTATATTTTAAAGAAAAAATGCAAGTAGACCCACAACTGGGTTTTACTACAATAAAAAAAAAAGAAGGATGTCTGTGAATATTTTAATTCTGCTTTGAATAATCAACTCATAAAATAATTTTAAGAGGTTTAGAATGGATACTTTGATTAAATATAAATATCCTGATATATTTGAAATATGTATTAAATCAATATGAATAGTTTATAATTTTATTTACTCATTTAATCATATATAGTGATGAATAAAGAAATTTTTTACTATTGATATCTCGTTTTGTTATTGTATACAAAAATTTTCTGGGATATATTTCAAACTGCATTAAAGTGAAAATTGAACATTTGGTTATTCAAAAAATGGGGTGATAAAGGAACAATATATTTGGGGAAAATAAATTTTGTCTTGGTTTATCAAATATTAATGGCCTTGTATATGCAGGCTATAACAATAGCCATAATTATGATTATGTTTATTATAGTTTATAGAACTTGATGATATACAAATCAGCTATCACATAACATAGCATACATATATCATTTCGTCTCAATGTAGACACATACCCTGATTACTTTTTCTTTCATGGTGGGAAGAATTAGTGAATCAGTATAAGTTGTCCTTGTTTTCAGCTAAAAAAAGAAAAATACTTTAAAGACACGATATATTTTTATCCTTTATAGTCATCACAGAAGAGAAAGAGATGGAATTCAAAATCTAACATCTTATTAATTTGAAAGACAGGGCAGTCAGTCTATGGCCATACCGCCCTGAACACAACTGATGTCCTCTGAAAGACAGCGCAATAGTCTATTGCATCTTGCTGAACCCGACAATCATGGAAAAGCATTTGAATTCCTCTCCTCTTAAGTGTATAGGAAGTTATTTACAAGTATAAATACATCCTAATTTGCATCTTAAAGCAGTTATTGTGTTTGCTGTGTGACGGAGGGAATCTGAAGATATATGAAAGGAAGTAGTGTCTTACAATAAGGCTATTGCTATTTATTTCAAAAGAAATAAATGAGTTTACTTTGGAGGAAAATGATGAGAAAAGTAGACATATTCAAAACAAATTAAGTGGATTTGGGAAGATATAGTCATGCATCATTGGGAGAGATGAGAATTCCATAAGCTTCTAACTGAAAATATGGATGATTGGAATTATAATTTTGTTTTTAAAATAAATTAACTGAGGGAGGAAGATTTGGGGAAGAAAGATTTTCATAGGGAGAATGGAGAGATGAGTTTGGACATAATACTTTTGAGGAGTCTGTGAATAAATTCCAATTAGCATCATTACCCTAGTGAATGGCTCCAAAGGCCTGGTGCTCAACATCAGTTGTGAAGAGGAGACGTGCATCTCCTAGTTGTTACAGATGGCATTAAGCCATAGTAATGAAAAGGATCAATTACAGGTTGCAAGTAGAAGAGCAGGGTTAAATGGGAATCCATGGCAATGCCTATCGTGGCCCTGTTCCTGCAAACTGGAGCACGGGTCATATGAACATGGCCTACACAGACACTGAAAATCATTTCACCTCATGGGAATAGGAAGACAAAATAATTCTGAGTCCAAGTTTATAAGCATATAATTTCTTTGTTCTTCCAATTGGTATTGTTCTCACTTTTCAGAGCAAATTTACCCAAAAAATTCACCTGAGGAGTTAAAGAACAGTATCCACTCATCTGCATCCTTGCAAGAATTATTTGCTGGCTTAGAAACAAACCAGAATGAAACCCTGTAAACCAAAATGTTACCCTGTAGAATCATCCCTGACAGTGTTCGATCCTAGACCAGACTTTGTGCCTGGCATAGTTAATTTGGTAAGAAGTAATTTACTTGCTTCTCAGCTCCCCCATTTAAATTGCACAATTGGCAGGCAAAGTTCTACAATTTAAATGGGAATGCAGAAGGACCCAAAGAAGGTAAAAGTAAAAAATAAGACATTATTTTTTAAGATAAATAAAATCTTAAGATTTATTCATTAAGAAAATGACAGGGATGCTCTGATTTAATCTCATTGTAACAGTGGAACACGAAGCCTGGCATTAGGATATTTGGGGACTGGAGTATTAAGACAGAGGTCTTTTTGCCTATTTCCTCCAGTGGGATGGTCCCAGCCTAGCCAGTACTAATGGCTAGAGCTATAAAGGCAAACAGGAAGGGAACTTGAGAGAGGCATAGGAGCATGACACCTGGACCTTTACCAAGAGGATGAAGGCTCAAATGTCTGTAGTGGCAACAAAAATAAGACACAACAATCAGATCTTCCCTGTGTCCTTTCTAAAGCCCACTTTGTATCTGATAAGTTAATGTCTATCAGCCTGTTTATTCCCTCCACTGAGTGCTCCACTGAAACTGCTGGGCTTTTGTAGATTTCTGTAATGGGTTATCCCTTCCCGAGACAGACTCTGTGCACCGTGTTATGTCTCTTTCAGACACTTAACTGCTAATTATTAATGATTTGTACCAACGAATGGTTTCATTTGTGCAGTTAGGACCAGTGACATGTGAAGCCCAATGTAAAATAAAAATGAGGTAAGCCAGATGGCCATATGTGATGGCACATGTTGGTAGTTCTAGAAACTTGGGAAGTGAGGCAGGAAGACCATGAGTTGGAAGCCAGCTGGAACACCATATTAAGACCTCACCACAAGAAATAAAAACTTACGAGATCTCTATTCAACAATTATTGTGAATTTGAGGACACAATACCAAAGCACTAAAGCAACCACAGAGCCCTTCTAACCATGAGGCTCCGTATGAATTTGTAAGTCTCATGCCTACAAAGCCAGTCTTTTCTGTGCAGCAGGAAAAACTAGTGGTAGTACCTGAGGTATGGAGACTCTGTGTATACTATTCATTAAAGCCACATGGCATTTTGCATGGTCTAATAATTGATCTACTTAATTTATGAGAAAAAAAGTACTAAGTGTGGGAAAAGAAGTTTAAGGCCATCAGCTCTGGCAGAAATTTAACAAGAGAAAATAAATCTAAACTGTTCTAGTAAAGGAAGAAGCAGTCCAATGTGGGAGAGGATCACCCTTATACCAACCCTAGAGGCTTAAATGTTTGCAGGGCCTCTGAATAGAAAAAAAAGAAATATAACAGGAACCATCTGAGTGAATGCTATCCCTGGAAATGGGCAGTCTTCAGTGTCACAAGCTAAATACCTCTTCACCAAGGCTCTGCCCACAGCCTTAGTCCTGATAGGTGGCATATTAAGAATATTCTGCCAGCTAGGAGCCATCTTACCATGCTGATGTGGCTGGAGTTGTAGGCCTACTGCCCAGTAGATCTATGCATAAATGTTGGGACTTAAAACACAAAGTCTGATGAAACAAACAGTACTAGGAAGGGTATGACTCAAAGCACTAATGAAGTCACCAAGGCCTACTGAAACAAAAAGAAAATTGTGGTGATTAGTTAAAATGGTTTCAAAGATCCCCAACTCCAACTATACATGTCCTTGTGTAGTCCCTTCCCACACTTGGGTCAGGACTAGAACTAACTCAATGTGCTTTAGTTAACAGAATGTAGCAGAAATGATAGATGCTTCCATTTTTATTTTCTTGATAGCCCATATACAAAGCCCAGCTATGCTGAGAGAGAGGCTGTTGGAGAGGTTCTGAGATGACATGGAAAAAGAAAGAAGCTTAGCCTTCCTTGATTCTCAGTCAAGTTTCTAAATAATCCCATTTGCAGTCACTAAACTCCAAGTAAAACCAGAAGAATTGCCTAGCTCATTCTACTCAGCCTGCAGAATTCTGAACACAATAACATGCTTCTTTCAAGCCAGTAAATTTTAGGATAATTTGATCCATAGTAATAAATAATAGAAAAAATGAATAATTGAATTAATCAGGATTCCATCACAGAAATATTGCCACGATGAATGTGTTATGGTTTGTGTCTAGATGTCCCCCGAAGCCTCATGCGCTCATAGGTTGGGGTTTTTCAGAGGTGGCTGGATCTAGGGTGTGTGATGCTAGAATTAAGGGTAGGTGATCACTGATTGGTTTAGCAGCGCCCTAACCCCAGTAGCCTAGAGTATGAAAGAGGCCAAAAGAAGCTGCTAAGGTTCCTTGCTTTCTTGGCTACCTTCTGTCCACCGTGAACTGTTTCTCCTCTGTCCTTGCAAGACAGTTGATTATGGGCTGAAACCACTACAAACTGTGAGGAAAATAAGCCTTTCCTTCTTGAACTTTGGGTGTCAAGTATTTGTCTCAGCAATGAGAAAAGTAACTAAGACAGAATACTACAGAGCAAGGAATTTGTTATAAGAATTAGATGATTATAAGAATTAGACTAAAGGAAGTAAAGAAGAGAGAAGTTGAAGGATAAGAAAAGAGTTACTGTGTTAGCCTTCTGGGAACATCCAGGAATAGGGGTGGACCTGTTGAGGGGCTGCTGTGCATACCTGTGGTAGACTTTGTCTCTGCATAGCTACCACCACGGCGGGTTTGTTACCAAGAGTCTTGATACCATGGTAAATCAGCACAGTCTGGGTTCAGGAAGAACAGCCAGACATGGAGGAGAGAAAAGCAAGGACACCCACCTACCTTCATCTGTATCGCCCATCTTCAGACAGTTGTACTTGGTTCATAACTGGTTATGGGTCTACGTAGGCCATCTCATTTCAAGCATATTCTTTTGGCAAACTTTACCCTAGAATCATAGGGTTTGTGAGAGATATGATTCCAATATGTCCAAGTTACCTCAACAAAGTCACTATAATCATGGAATTATGCAACTGTGACAAATTATGAATAGCAGGGAATTTCCTCTTGTGTGAGCAAGTGGCCCCATTCCTCAGCCTAATAATAAAAAAGACAGAAAGCTGGAAGCCAGGAGTTCCTGTGACCTTGTGATCTCAGGATACAGAAGCACAGACATGGCCGTTGAATGTAGCAACACAGATTTATTAACAACCTTCATTAGAGCAATTCTGATAAAGAATG